CTGACCACTGACACACCTGGCCTGACGGTGCAGGGTCAGAAAGCTGTGATGAGCGTCAGGCCACTACTCAGTCTCGGGGAGGGGGGGCGGCCCCTACTTCTGGAGAGCAGTTATGCCCCACCCTTACCCCTACCATTTGAGGTCAACACTGCAGGCCCCCTTCCCTCTCTGACAACCTTGGCTGCCACTTCTGGGTTTCTGGTCAGCCAGCCCCCAGGTCCCGCCCACCTGCTAAACAGTGAACAGACACTGCCCCTCTGAACCCCTGACTCCTCCCTGCTGGGCCTCCTGCTCGGCCCCCACAGAGACGGGGCTCCCTGCCCTGGGGTCCAGGCCCTGAACTACACGGGGCAAACAGATGGTGCAGCCCCTATAATCACGTCCCCCACCAGGCTCCAGGATGAGAGATGAATATTAGAGGCCGCCCACTGGGCACAGCTGGGAGAAGAAGCCGTCCTGCTGAGGCACAGACAAGCCGACAAAGAGGCAGCAGCCATTCCTCCAGGTCCCAGCCAGGCCCAGCATCTGAGGATAGAACTGCCCAGGGACTGCCCGAGCGCAACAGTGCACATTCAAGAGAGACCACAGGGGCCCCCTCGCTGCCCAGGGACGGGCACAGGGAATCCCACACCTCCCTTGAGGGTCTTCACCTCCGGCATGCCTCTGGCTGAGAGGAACACCTGCCGCTTCATTCAGCCACACCTCCTGATACACCTCAGGGTCCTTCACCCCTAGGCCGGTACAGCCTGCCCCCCACTTCTTAGGGCTCTCTCTGGGCTGCACCTTCTGTTCCTCATACCTCCTCCTGCCTTTCTGGCCATTCTTTCCAGCTCTTGGCTTCTCCAGGAGCTGCCCTTCCTGGCATGGCATCTCCCACGCTTCCTCTGCCCCCTTCGCACTCCCAAATGGCAGCCTAACTTCTGCCTGTCCAGGACTTTGAGGAGGCTCCCCCGGAGAGTGGTCACATGAGGCCTAACCCTGGACTGACCCTCTTCATGGCTCTCTGGACTCACGCCGAGTGACACAGGCTGCCGCCCCCCACCCCTCTCTTCTCCTCCTGGGCTGCAGGCGTTGTCCCTACTCACGTACCTTGGTCAGCTCCTGAGCATTGGCGAGGTTGTCCACGGCGATGGCCAAGAAGACATTCAGCAGAGTGTCTGGTTGGCTCCAGCTAAGGAAGGGAACCCTTCTGCCCCCACCCCCAGTCTCCCGCAGTCATATCCCAGCGCTCCCATGGAGAAGTGGGTCCCGTCTCCCCAGAGCCTGACTAGCCTTCAGCCTCCTTCCCTTGGTGGCCACAGGCTCCTCCAGTCCCCTTGCTTCTCTGGCCCCTGTCACCCCCAGAAACATCCTAGCGCAGCTGCCAGGGCTGCCGCCTCCAATCTCTCCAGATCAGGCCCCTGACCTGAGTCACTCCAATTCTCCTGGGGCTGGAGCCACCTCTTCCCACAAGCTCCCCTCCTGTGCTAGTCAGAACAGCCCCTCCCAGAACCACCCCCGCCCTGCACCCTGTGTCAGGCCTTAGCACTGTTCCACAGACCCAGGCCCTCCCCAGTCACCTCATTCCTTGGCTCTGCTGACTTTTGGAACCAGGCAACCCTGTGTCGTGGGATGTTGAACAGCATGGCTGGCCTTCTGCCCGGCACCTGGATGCGGCAGCACCTTCTCCTCAAGGCAACCAAACTGTCTCAGACATTGCCGATGTCCTCTGGGGGCAAAGTCACCCCAGTCAGAGCCCTAGAGCTGAGCTCCTTAGCCACAGGCCTGGGGATTCACCCCCTAACCCCAACTTGGCAGTCATTCCTGCCAGGGCAAGGCTTGCCTAGACTCTGGCTTTGAAGGAGGCCAAAAGCAATGGCTGCTGCTGGTCAGGACCCAGTCTGGTAGGCAGATGCCTCCGAGACTCAAGGGGACCGGCGTGCCAGGTGCCACCTCATAGGCAAGGCTGCTCGAGGCTCCAGCAGAGCCCAGAGGACAGACAGTGAGGCTGGGGGCCACTTCCCTGCACTGACCACAGCCATGAGCACGCTCAGACGCCTTCCCACACCTGGAGCTCAGGGCCCAGCCAGAGAGGGGCACGGAGGCAGAGGGAACGATTCCCATTGGCTAGCACGAGGCCTGACCACTGACACACCTGGCCTGACAGTGCAGGGTTAGAAAGCTGTGATGAGCGTCAGGCCACTACTCAGTCTCGGGGAGGGGGGGCGACCCCTCCTTCTGGAGAGCAGTTATGCCCCACCCTTACCCCCACCATTTGAGGTCAACACTGCAGGCCCTTTCCCTCCCTGACAACTTTGGCTGCCACTTCCGGGTTTGCAGTCAGCCAGCCCCCAGGTCCCGCCCGCCTGCTAAAAAGTGATAAAACACTGCCCCTCTGAGCCCCTGACTCCTCCTTGCTGGGCCTCCGGCTCAGCCCCCACAGAGAAGGGGCTCCCTGCCCTGGGGTCCAGGCCCTGAACTACACGGGGCAAACAGATGGTGCAGCCCCTGGGGTGAATGCTGGCAAAGAGAACAAGGTCTGCAGGGTCACAGGTCATAGACTGGCGTGAAAGCCTGCAAGGCAGGGGTAAGGAGGGGCAAACAGGGTCACGTGTCCAGGTGTGCGTGCAGGGAAATAAGGCCAAGCCGGTAGGTCAGTCTGCGAGAAGGCCACTCACAGATCTTTCTCCGGGCTCTGAGGGCTATTTCCTGCAGTAGATCTCAAAATGGGGGTCCCCAGGCCACAGCATCAGCACTCCCAGGGGAGCATGTTAGCATCACATTTGTGGGCTGGAACCTGAGCAATAACCACCCTTGGGGGA